AAACACTATGCACCAAATTTTCAGAAACTTGCCTAACCACTCAATTTTTCATTTTGAATCCATTTCTAGGGTTAGTTTTCTCATATGAGACCTCCTACTCAATTTTACTTTTCTAGGGTTATGTGTTTGGCTAATTACCGTTTTACCATTCCTTTGTATTTTGACCTTAATTTCAAGATTTTCACTAATCCTACCCTTTAATCCACATTTAATATATTAATATATGTTTTTGAAATGCGAAGTATTATAATAGTCATGAAGCCCTTCACTCGGCTGAGTTGGAGCTCAAAGCTGAGGCCGAACTTTTAAACTTGAAGCCTACACTGGGCTAAGTTGATAATCATAAAGTTGTTCATTGGGCTGAGTTGAAGCTCAAGGCTGAGGCCGAGCTTTAATCTTGAAGCCCTTCACTAGGCTAAGTTGGAGCTCAAGGCCAAGGCTGAGCTATTAAACTTAAAGCCCTTAGTGGGGCTGAGTTGAAGCTCTAGGCTAAGGCTGAACTTTTAAACTTTTAAGCCCTTAGCTGGGATGATATGAAGCTCAAGACCGAAGCCGAGCTTTTAAACTTTAAGTCCTTAGTTGGACTGAGATGAAGCTCAAGGCTGAGGCTGAGCTTTTAATCTTTAAGTCCTTAGTTGGGTTGAGATGAAGCTCAAGGCTGAGCTTTTAAACTTGAAGCCCTACACTAAGCTGAGTTGATAATCATGAAGCCCTTCATTGGGCTGAGTTGAAGCTCAAGGCTGAGGCCGAGTTTTAATCTTGAAGCCCTTCAGTGGGCTGAATGGGAGCTCAAGGCCGAGGCTGACCTATTAAACTTAAATAGAAGAATTGATGTCTTGGTTTATGGATGTGTCCAACAATTGATGTTCCTTCAATAAATCACTTGGTTCAACTTTATATTATCAAATGAACATAAACAACCATTAATATTCCACTGTCAACCATGAATAATGAAATTCATAATTTACTTAAAACCTAAGTCATTTCAATCTTCATGAAAACTGAAGATTTATGATAGTTTATTACCTTAAAGCTTAAGACAATGATGCAAAGAGTGATTTCCAAGCTTCTAAGAGATCAAACACTCCTCCATCTTCTAACACCAAGAATGGCGCCACACTAGGTATGAGGATTCCTTTCAACCCAAAGCTCCTCCAAGGAAACTAGTTAGTAGGTTTTGTTAGTTGCAAGAAACTAAGCAATTTTCATCAAATGAGCAAAGTGTTTTAATGGCTAAATCAAGAAGTGAGATTTTGATCTTTTTCTATCATGGAGGCTTCCCTCTCTACACCAAGCCTCTCAAAGAAAACTAATTGGTGATTTTTACTCTACATGAGAAACTAAGTAATTTTCTTTTCTGACCTAGGCATTTTAATGGCTAGAAATGGTTTTAATTCTTCGAGGTCTTGAAAACATGGAGGTTAGCCAACTATGGAGGTGCTTTACAAAAATAAAAGAAGGGAAAAACTACTCTTATGCTACATGTGATAATTTTCTCTCCTACACACTCTTCAATAACTGTGTCATCTTTTTCTTTTCTTTTCTTTTTATTTTTCAGATGGTGGAGCCCACAAAATTGTCTCTATGACATGAGATAACTTATCTCCTTTAACATGAGATTAATAAAACTCATAAAAGAAAGCATGAAAATATCTAAGTGTCATAAACTTACAAAGGAAACTTTGACCATTGGTCAAACTACTAATTAGAAAATTACTAATTCAACCTTCATTAATCCTTTTGATTCCAATTTAATCCTAGCCAATGATTCAACACTCTTAAGATGTATTTTACACCCACAAAATTTCATGAAATAATATCTTATTACATTATTTTTAAGTTTCAAGTTACTTTTGCATATTTGTATTTTTACCCCAAAACTTTCACTAATTGCGTTTTTGCTCCAAAAGTGACATAAATTGCAAGAATTAAATTCTTTATCTAATTAATCCCTCTTAACCATTACCTAATATGTAATTTAGTAGACTGGGTTATTATAAAAGTCATTTTCACAATACAATTCTTATCAAATCTATTTTTATTTTATTTAAAAAACTTAAAAGTTATTTTTGGAAATAGAAATCAAACCGATCTATTTTTTCCCATTTTTATTCATCATAAATAGAAATTTCATGACAACATTGACGTATATGGCCGAGTGGTAATGTTGGTAAGTTGTGATAGTAATAAGGATGCCAATGTGTGTATGGTGGTAGAATGGATAAATAAAAAATATGTCGTTAATAAACTTGAACTCAAAATTATTGTTAAGCTGGAATATAGGGTTGTTCATTAACCGATCCAAATCGATTCAAACCGGGTGATCGGATTGAAAAATAGATAACTGAAAATTGAAAAATTGAAAACAAAAATAAATTGCATATTTTAATTGGATTGAATTGATTTTCGGTTTGGTCGGTGAAAATTAATCCAATGCATTATGTATTTATTATTTTTGAAAGAAGGTGACTTGGAATCTTATTATTTTATAAACTTAGAATCTTAGATGTTATTGATAGCAAACTATCTTGTTTTTTATTGTCTATTAATCTATTTTAAGTTTTTATGAGCTTTAAGACTTGTTTTAGTTTGAAGACTTGAATTTTCCAAAGGTTTGTAACTTTGTATGACTTTATTTTGATATAGCTAGTGATTTGTATGGCTGAAATTTTTAGGTTTTATGAAAATTCGAAAACTGATCCAATCCAAACCGAATAAAATTGAATTGGATTGGATCATATTTTTTTAAAAATTCAAACTAAATAGATGATTAAATGATTAAACTAAAGGGATTGGATCAAATTATTTTTGTTTTAAAACCGATGCAATCCAGACCGCGAATAATTTCTATTTTTTTAACATGAAACTGAGTACAGGAATAATTTTACAGTATCCTTATAAATCTTGAATTAATTTCGGAATTCCAGAAAATATTTCACGAACCAAACGGTTCTATACACCTTGTCAAATAATACACTGTTTTAAACTCAACGTAAAGTAAAAAATCTCAAATAAAAACTTTATTAGAAAAAAATATTTGTCATTTTAAAGAACAGGACTTTGTGTCATCTTAAGTGAAACTAACGTATTTTAATAGGTTTTTACTTTCTCTATCCTTCACAAGTTAGGAGGAGAAATAAAAAGAGAATATTGTGAATGAGAGAGAAGGTAAAAATCTATCAAAATACAATAATTACACTTAAAATAACATAAAATTATGTCATTTAAAATGATAAATATATTTCTTAAAAACACTCGAGTTTGATACACTTGGACATGATATATCCCGAAAGTTATATATATATATATATATATAAAGAAATAGATCATTAAATTAATAGGCATAGCTCAGTTGCTAACATAAATTTGAAAAATTTCTTCGGCATCGCTTATTAAATTTAGGAAAAAGTACAAAAACCCTCCTCTATGATTTTATTTTGAATCATTTATACCTTTATGTTATTTTTTAATCACTTATCCCCTTATAACTTTTTCCATCAAAACTCATCAGTAACATTGTTAAAACCTAAATTAATATGTCTGTTTTACTCTTCTTAGTAAAAGAAAGTAGATTGAGGAAAAAAATAAAAGAAGAAATAATACCAAGTACGTTAAAAAATTATAACACTTATAAAAAAGACTAAAAATGAAAAATAAAAATAAAATAGAAGAAAAAGAATCATATATGTCTAAATCAAAAAGAAGAAAATAGAATAAGGAGACAAAAAAGAAGAAGAAAAATTAATATCAAATATATTGAAAACTTACAACAGTAATATAACTAAAAGCAAAAAAAATTAAAAATAGTCTAAATTAAAAAATAGACTGAAGATAAAAAAATAATTAGAAGAAAAATAATTTCATATGTCTAATAAAAAAAGAAAATGGATTTAGTATAAAAGAATAAAAATAAAAGATCAAATATGTTAAAATTTCACTGATTTCTTTTTCTTCATTTATTTTTTATCTTATTATTTTTTCTATTTCTTTTAATGATGATAGAAAAGACTAAAAGTGAAAAAATAAAAAATAGAAGAAAAAAAAGGCAACCATATATAAATCAAAAAGAAAAAAAATAGACTTATACTGAATACAAAAAAGAAAAAATAAAACTAAATGGGTTAGAAACTTACAATAATGATTTCTTTTTCTTCTATTTCTTTTCTGTTTTATTTGTCTTTTTTTCCTATATTTTTTTTTTTGGGTCTCCAATCTATTTTTTCTATTTGATTTAGACTATTTTAATTTTTTTTAGTTATAGTCTTTTCCGTTAGTATTGTAAATTTCCAACATATGTGATCTTATTTTTTCTTTCTATTTTTTGGTCCTCATTTTATTTTCTTCTTCTTAATTTAGACATATTTGATCTTATTTCTTTTTGTATTTAGTATATATATTTTTATTTAGAATATTAAATTTAGTCTTTTCTGTTACTTTTATAATTTTTAAACATATTTGGTCTTTTTTTTGTCTCGTTTGTCTATTTTCTTTTTCTTTTTTAGAAATATTTGATATTTTCTTCTATTTTGTTATTTTTTTACATTTAGTCTTTTCTATAAATTTTGTAAGTTTCCAATATATTTGCTCTCTTTTTTTTTCCCTTTTTTTATCCTCAATCTATTTCCTTTTGCTAAGAAGGATAAAATATACATATTAATTTAGTTTCCAACGGTTTTCAGGATGCGTTTGGATGAAAAAATCATAGAGGTAAGTTATTAAAAAAATAAATAAGGGTATAAATGATTCAAAGTAAAATCATAAAAAAAAAGTTTTTGAATTTTTTCCCTTAAATTTATAAAATAATTCACTTAATTGCTTTTATTCTATCTAGTTATTTGTATTTCTAGAAACAGAAATATTGAAAGAAGCATTAAAAAAATATGAATTTTTTTTTTTTTAAGTTTACCAAAAACAAAAAATGAAATTTTTTGGTATAGCCATTTGGTGTAGTTTTAAGCGCACAAATCACGGTAGCTAACTTAGAGTTTAAGAATAACGAATCAGTAAATGGGAGGTGATAAGATAATAGTAGAGCGTCAATAGGACTCTTATGACTGGGAACAGGAGTTGGTGGAGTCATTCCAAAACGGTAGCGTTGATCTGGCTCATCTCTGCCTTCTGTTTCTTCACCTTGTTTCAAATGGCCGTCCATAATTCATCACACACCATTTCATCTACTTCTGAAGGTAATTATTCTCTCCATTCGCTTATCAATTTTCAAACTTGGTTTTCATCATTTAGCCTACACCAGGTTCTTTTTTTTTTTCTTTTTTTTTTGAAGTTTAAGGTAGATTGTACTTTTTTAACAACTGATGAGAGTCTCTTCAATTTGGGTCATTAAAATTTGGCTCTCTCAAGACAAGTTTGAATTTTTTCAGTGTATTTTTTGGCTTATGAAATAATTCTATGCAAAATTGTTCCCTTGGCTGAGGTTTTTATTCAAAATTTGATCTTGGGTGGAGAAATATGTGAGTTTGATGCTAATTTAAAAAGGGTTTGTCTTAGATTCTCCAAATTTAAACACGGAGAGAAGATCCAAGCTATATGACAAGATGGCAAGAGATCTCGATGAGCATGGAGCTGCTTTCCTTAAACATGGTGAAACCTCACAGTCATTGTCTCTTTCAGATATCTTCACTCTGAAGGATGGATCTGTAACACCTGTACTAAAGGTCACATATAACAGTTTAAGCCGTGTTTTCATTGAGTTGTTTGGGCAGTAACTGATGATTAACTTTCATATGCAGCCTGCAAATCCTCCCGTTCGAGCTAATGTATTGTATTTGAGTACTGAATTCTCTGTCCCCATCGCGTAAGTATTAATAAATTGGCTCCCGGATTTTATTAATGGCAATTTTATGCATCTATGCTTAACTGAAGATATAATTTCTCTGAATTTGGCCATGGTTTTGAATTAGATGATCATATTTAAAAAGTCATTTAAAAATTGCTTTTTCCTTTATCTGATATAAGCTGTCTATAGTAAATTCTTTTATTTGATATATTGAAAACTCACACAAGACAGACAAACCATTCACAGTATTCATATTATAGCACTCGTGCTCTCGATGAGGATAAGATTTAGTGTTTTTCTAGGAATTTGAAAGATATATTGTATTTTAATTAAAGAATACCTTATTGAGGTCATATGTGTATTTGACATCTTAATTTAATATGGGGCTATGCTAGAGATTCATGCTTCAGGTAAGCATAAAAGGAAATGGAGATTTGAAATAGATTTTCACAAAATTACTGCATAAATTATCTTGCTCAATCCAGGCTAAAAGATGTGATATCTGTTTCAAACTTCAAAGCCTCATGTATAGCATTACACTATACCAAAGCAATATTATGTTTGCAGATTGATCTGTTTATCCTTACAACACTGGTTCTTTTCTTGCTAACACTTTTATGGCAAGGTTTATATATGTGCAGATTTCTGTTATCATTATCAGCTCCTGCAGTCTCAGGATTAGATTCATATTTCCATTTAATGATTGTTATATATTCTATCACAAATAAATCTGCTTTCTTCAAATACTTTATTCATACTTTACTAGGACAAAGTTACCATTGTTTTTTATATTAATCTTACAAATCTCCTAATAGTGTACACTTTGATCCCCCTCTTTTTTTGGGTAAATTACATTTTTCATCTTGGAAGTTTTTGTCCTAGTCAATTTCAGTACACCAAGTTTAAAACCTTACATTTTATCCCCTTCATGTTTCAGAAATATATGTTTTTCCACCTTCGAACACCCTTGATGTTTCAGAATATACAATCATGATTAATTTAGTTAGTGCTGAATAGAGAGGTCATCTGCCACACCTACAACCATTTTCTTTGCCAAAAATCGATCAAAAGAGTACACTGCTTTCCTATATTTCTGTTTTCTACTGTTTAAGACTAGGATTTACAGTGTCTCCCACTCCTCTTTTTCTACAACTTTATCACATAACAGACAGTCTCTTCTACTAGTATGCATAAAAGACAAATCTCAATGCATCTTGATGAATACGGTGCTATTTAGGCAAACAATGAACACTTTCAGTGTTTTCGAAGATTCAAGAGGATGCAGTATATCACTTTGAAACTAGATGGTTGTAAATAGTTGGATGTTAAGATTAGTGCTTTAAAATTATTTAGACAAAAAAAACTTCAATTGGTTGAAATTTGATTATACCAATTTTTTTTTTCTTTTGCTTTCTTGGTAAATGAGCATAGCATACTACTTTTGTATATTATGATGATCTTTTTGTCTTCACCTTCACACATCATTCTTTATTGTTGTATTTATCTTTGTTAAATTTTTTTTATTACCATATCAAGCAATTTGGTATTCATGTAACACATGCATGGTTTGCACAACACAGGGAGGCTGTCAAAAATATTTTTAATCCATATTTTGATAAAGGTAAGCTGTAGTTGCTTCAATGATACACTTATTTTGATAAATATTCAGTTTATAGCTTGAGAGTAATAATAGAATTTGGATTAATTCACTGGCCTGTATTTTTAAACATACCTATGTTGCTTCAGCTTTCTCTTTGCATTGATTTTATTTTATTGGCTTTCTTACATGTGTGTCAATTAGCAATCTGGTTCCAGAACTCTAGTCTGTACCATTTTAGCATGTTTCATGCCTCCCACCATATTGTACCTGTACCTGCCACCAAAGAAGAGGTATACTTTAATTGTGGATGTCTCCGTTTCATCTTGGCAGTTTGCTGACCTAACTCATGAGAATCATTTTTGTTTCAGATAGAAGCTGAAGCATCTTCCGTGGAAGCTGTTGTTGGGACCCTCTGCCCTTTGAAAATTGTTTTGGATAGGGTGGTTTTGACTTCAACTGGGGTGCTCCTGGGTTGCTGGCAGGTTACTTTCCATAATCTAAAGGATTTGTCTCCTTATCCTTGATGCATGTATTATAGACTGTGTTGCACACATGGATATGATTCCTTGATGCTAGTACCCTCCCCCTCCCCCTTCTCTCTATCTGTATCTCTCTCTCATCCACAAGTAAAGAGTGGCGTGGTGTACTGAGTCCTGTTAAGCAATAATTTATAATGGTGAAAATTGATCAACATAGACAATTATTAGTTTTTGGTCTTAAGTGGTTCAGTTTTCTAAATTTTCTATTTTTCAACTAAAATTTGAGATATCTATATCATTTTTACGTGTATGATTCATTCAGTCATTTGAGGTTTACTGATTCTGGAAATCTTTTGGTACTATTTTTTTTCACAGCAAGATGGAAACATCCAAGCTTTTTCTCTTATTCATGCTTTTTAAATAAATCCTTTTTCTCACTTTTATGTGGATTCTTTTTTTTTATAACTTTGTGACCATTAAGTTTCATATTTGATTGATTAATATCTAAGAATATCCAATTGTCGAAACTTTCAACCTGTGCATCAATCAGTATACACAAAAAAATTTGAAACCAGTAACCAAAAAACAAAAAAAAGAAAAGAAAAGAAAGAAACTATTTCTCTAACTTTAGTCATTGTGTTGAATTGTATCAGTGTTAGAATTTCAGACAGCATTTACAAGCCTAGGCTAATGATTTTATGCTTATTTTGTAGGTCATCTCAGGGACAGATCCCATAACCATTCGTGCTACGTTGAAGAATGTACTTCCACGGGCACCTGAAAAACAACTTGTAAGCATTATTTGAATGCTCAGTTTTGCTATAATGTCAGTGCAAGAAAGATGTATCTAGTATGGTGTTACGATCCTAGTCCAAGGTATGGGACTTGGAGTCCCACATTGGAAATATAAGATTCTGGTGTGAGGTTTATATGGACTTTGGGCTCTCTTATCTCATGAGCTAACTTTTGGGGTGAGGCTCTCCCAAGATTCGTATCATATGGCTTGAGGCAGGTTTACATTGTGAAATTTCATGATGTACTTGGAACATTTTGTTATCCATATATGAACTTGGAAGCTTTTGGAATTAAAACAGGGAGTTCTGGCTTTCCATGAGTCTAAAACCTCATGTCCTGCGTGGTTGCATTAATTTGAGATGTCCTTTTTATCGTCTTTTTCGATATAACAGATTCCTCTATGAACTCCAATCCTTTGTTTTTCCAAAGTTAATTGGTAATTTGAAATCATATATGCCACTAAAATTGCATTGCTTTGTGGGGCTTGATGATCTGCCATTTATTTTCATCTACAGTATGATGCTGCAATTCTTCATACGTCATTTGCAAGGCTTTTGGGTCCACCTCGAGCATCGTCTTCGGTAATATATATCTGCAGTATTTCTTGTAATTTATTTGAGTTATCTGTTAAGTGACATCATCGCTAATTTTATAATTGTATTTGTTACTGACTTAGACATTAGTACAATTGTCCTTACCTATAGTTAAGTAGTAACAGTTGTTAGCTTGTTATAGCTTTAGAAGAAGCCTATAAAATATAAATTGACATCGTTTTATTTCAATCCACATGCAAGTGTAGTTTCAGTGGATAAAATTTAGGAATTTATTGTGATATGACTTCGGTATACTTGAAAAAGGGTAATCAGAAATATTATTAAAATTGTGTAAATAATCTGTATAAAGAGGTCTCTATTTATAGAGAATAAAAGACTTAATTCTTGACCTAATGGGCTTGGCCCAATACAACAAATAATAATAATTAAGTAAATAACTAATATTTACAACACTCCCCCTCAAGCTGAGGAATAGATATTTATCATTCCCGGCTTGCTAGTAAGTTCTTAAAATCTGTCTGAAGGAAGTCCCTTTGTCAATCGATCAGCTAATTGACGCCCAGTGGGAATGTATGGAGTGGTAATCAACCCGCTATCAAGTTTCTCTTTGATGAAATGGCGGTCGACCTCAATATGTTTAGTCCGATCATGTTGAACTGGATTATGAGCTATACAAATAGCGGACTTTTTATCACATAGCAGCTTCATAGGTCCCTCACATTTTATTTTGAGATCATCAAGTACAATTTTCAGCCACAGTAACTCACAAATGCCTTGAGCCATAGCTCGAAATTCAGCTTCTGCACTTGATTTGGCAACCACATCTTGTTTCTTACTTTTCTGTGTCACCAAGTTACTGCAAAGAAACATGCAATAACCAGTGGTAGAACGACGGTCAGTCACGGATCCAGCATAATCAGCATCAGTGTAGACTTCTAAAGAGAGATTGCCATCACGTCGGAACAACAATCCTTTACCAGGAGTAGCTTTAAGATACTGAAGAATTCTCTCTACTGCCTGCATGTGTTTCTCCTTTGGATCGTGCATAAACTGACTGACAACACTAACAGCATAAGCTAGGTCTGGTCTAGTATAAGCCAGATATATCAATTTCCCAACTAGCCGTTGATATTGTCCTTTATCAACTGGAGGACTCTCCTCTTCACAGCCTATCTTGTGATTCTGCTCAATAAGAGTATTAGAGGGTTTACACCCGAGCTTTGTTGCTTCTTTGAGAAGATCAAGAACATATTTCCTCTGGCTGATAAAAATTCCTTTGCTTGAATGAGCTACTTTTATCCCTAGAAAATATCTCAGTTTCTCAAGGTCTTTGACTTCAAACTCAGAGGTAAGCCGTGTTTGCAGAATCTGTCTCTCCACAAAATCATCACCTGTGATAATAATATCATCAACGTATACAAGGAGCACAGTAAGCTTCCCATTTTGGGAGTGCTTGAAGAAAAGGATGTGATCTTTTTGACTCTGTCTGTATCCTAAGGTCATCATAACCTTAGTAAACCTTCCAAACCAGGCACGAGGTGACTGCTTCAATCAATACAAGGCCTTTTTTAATCTATAAACTTTATTTTCTCCTTTCACAGAATCAAAACCAGGCGGGATTTCCATGTAGACTTCTTCTAACTCACCATTGAGGAAAGCATTTTTCACATCAAATTGATTTATATCCCAATTGTAATGGGCAGCAAGGGATAACAAGATTCTCACCGTATTCATCTTTGCAACTGGAGCAAAGGTTTCTTCATAATCAATGCCATAGGTTTGAGTGTAACCTTTAGCGACTAATAGAGCCTTGTATATCTCAAGAGTGCCATCAGAATTATATTTCAGGGCATAAACCCATCTGCACCCTACTGCTTTCTTTCCGTTGGGTCTATCAATAACCTCTCATGTTTTATTTTTCTCCAACGCATTCATCTCCTCTTACATGGCTTGAACCCAATTCCCATCTTTCAAAGCTTCATGTACTGATTTTGGGATTGAAATAGAATCTAGTGCTGAAACAAAGCTTTTGTGCTGCACAGAAAGATTAGTAGAGGAAACAAAATGGGAGATAGGGTATTGAGTACAAGAGGGACAGGAGGAACAAGATTTTTTGGAACAAGATCTTTTTCTTTTTCTTAGAGCAATGGGTAAATCATCAGAATCAGTAGGAATGGGTAAGTCATTAGAAGTATTAACATCATAATGATCAGAAATATGAGATTCAGGACTTACTAGTGGTTCAGACGATTGAGGTTGCTGGTGAGACAATGAGGGTTGTTTCCTTCTTTGATATACCAATTCTGGTGTCACAATCTCCCGCAAATAAAGTTACGGATCACATCTTGCTGTCTCATGGTCAATCAACTGCTGATTCTTTGATTTGGCTTCATCATAAGCGCTTGGGACATCCTCCATTTAGTATACTCAAGTCTTTATTTTCGTCATTGTTTTTGTCTAAGTTTGTTGAGTCTTTTCATTGTGATGTTTGTGAGTTTGCTAAGCATCATCGTGTGTCTTTTCCTTCTAGTATTACTAAAAGTGTTGAACCTTTTGATCTTATTCATTCTGATGTTTGGGGTCCTTCTAAGGTCCCTCATTCTTTTGGAAATAAATGGTTTGTTTCTTTTATTGATGATTGCACTCGTGTAACTTGAGTTTACTTGATGCGTGAAAAGTCTGAGGTACCACAACTATTTTTTCAATTTTATAAAATGGTTGAGACCCAATTTGGTAAAAAAAATCAAGCGACTAAGGACTGATAATGGTACTGAATATGTTAATCACTGTTTTTCCCAATTTATATGAAATAAGGTATGATTCATGAACTTGTGTTGATACCCCTTAACAAAATGGGGTTGCTGAAAGAAAGAATCGTCACCTTCTTGAAGTGGCTCGTGCATTACTGTTTCAGACACACGTACCCAAATACTATTGGGGAGATTGCATTCTTACTGCAGCATTCTTGATCAACCGTTTACCCACTCGGGTACTTGACCATGTAAGTCCTATTCACTTGATAACTTCTTTTTTTCCTTCTATTCCAACTATGGGTCTTCCTCCACGAGTGTTTGGTGTGTTGCGTTTGTTTATGTTCATAAACATCATCGCAGTTAGTTGGTTCCTAGGGCTCTTAAATGTGTCTTCCTTGGTTATGCTCCTGATAAGAAGAGCTACAAGTGCTATCACCCTGGTAGTCGGAATTTTTTTGTTTCTATGGATGTTACATTTCAGGAATCTGAGTCCTTTTTCCAAGATCTTCAGGGGGAGAATAATTCACCAGAAAACTCATCACCTTCCTTCTTTGAGTTTGAATCTTCAGTGTCTACTCCTTCACCTGTGTCAGTGTCTCCTCCTCTTGTTCCTGTTCCTTCTGTGTCTATGTCTGATCCTCCTGTGACTGATCCTACTGTGCTGATACATCAAGTACACCAGAGATACGGAAGATTTCGGAATTCCTTTGAGAAGAACCATCCTTTTTTGTTGAAATCATAGCAGACCCATTAGTGGGATCAGAATCAGAAGGAGTTGGAGTAGTAACTTTAGATGAGAGCATAATGGACCCTTCGGACACTTTGGTATCCATCATGACATCCCTGCGACTTTCTTCACCCCTGACAATGTGAAAAACTTCAGAAAGAGACGGTAATTTTTCCTCACCAAGAATTTGAACTCGAATAGGGTCATTTTTCTGAGTTGAGACCACAAAGAAAATCATAGATCTATGGCGTTCAATGGAGGTGGTCAGAGTGGTTGCATCCTTGTTACATTCCATCTTCAAATTCTCGTACTGATCAAGCTCAATCCATAACTTGTTCATAATACCATATATTCTGTTATAGAGAGAGAGCCTTGCTTGGTAGAAAAAATCTGATTCCTCAGATCATAACAAGTGGCAGCATCTTGCTTCATTGAGTACGTCTTTCTGAGAATATCCCAGATCTCAAGAGCGGTAGGTAAGAACATGCAATGTTGACTAACCTCAGGAGTCATAGAGTTCCATAACCATGTCATAATAAGAGAGTCTTCATCATCCTAGTCAGCAAATTTTGGATCTGTTTTGGCAGGAACAGGTCCTTCAAGATGAGTAATTTTACGACGCCCTTTAAGGATGGTACGAACAAGTTGAGACCATTGCAAATAATTCTTCCCATTAAGAAGATAATTCTGATGAAGAGGAGGAAGGTCAGTTGGAGAAAGCATAACCATCGAGCTAGCCACCAACCGTGTACCAGATGATTGATTGAGTGGAGTATTTTCAGCGTTCGACATAATAAAGGCTGAGAATAAGAAAACGACCAAAAAAACAGCGAATAATAGTCAGTGAACAGTAATAAAACACTGTAGAACGACCCTAACCGAGTTGAAATGCCACGAAAGTCACAGATCCAGACAGAGAACAAGGAGACGAGAAGAATGGCGGTGGTCCGGTCCAAAAATACTGCCGCACGCGCCTTCACGCACCAGAGAAAGGAGCTGCGCGTGGGCTTCACTCGCGGAGAATGTGGCGGCGCGTGAGAGCGCGTAGAGGGTCTTCTGCGGCTGAGATTTTTCTGGCGTGGTCGTCCGGTGAGCGCACACCTGTCTGTGGGTGGTTGCGGTTGAAAAATCGCCGGAAAGAGGTCCAAACGGTGAAGACAGATCTGATTGGAGGCGGTCGGAGGTGTTTGGGGTCGTCTGTGGTTGAGGAACAATGCGTAGAATGATATAACGGAGAAAAATAAGATCAACAGTGGTCCCCTTGGTCCAAAAGGTCCCCGGAAAAATATTTTTCGGTGGCGGCTGGTGGCGGCAAGAGGCAAAGATAGTAGGGTTTGATAAAAAAAAGACAATAGGCGCGGAAGCAGAGCCCTCAAGATCGAGAGCTCTGATACCAACTTGAAAAAGGGTAATCAGAAATATTATTAAAATTGTGTAAATAATCTGTACAAAGAGGTCTCTATTTATAGAGAATAAAAGACCTAATTCTTGACCTAATGGGTTTGGCCCAATACAACAAATAATAATAATTAAGTAAATAACTAATATTTACAACAGGTATATTTTCTTTATTTGGCAATTTATTTGAAGTATGGTAAAGTGTCAAGTGGTATTGACATAAAATTAAAAGTGAAATGAATATATGTACAAAAAAATAAAATAAAATTAAATGAATATGAAGAGGAGAGAAAGTACACCAAAGAGTAACATTACAACTTGAAATGGGGAGGAGTCACAAGTTGGTTGTCCTTTATCTTAGTCCCAAATGTATTTGCATTTTGATTACCCCATTGCTGATCAAGTGTCCAAGGAATATCTCTGATTTCTTTTATGGTAGATTGGGTAGCTGTATCTTGTTAATACCATTTACCCCTTTATTCTATTATTTACTTTCAATTGTTGTATGCAGGAGCTGCTTAAAACGTCAGATGAAGTCCCATTTTTCCACGAGCTAGTTAATCGACTTAACAGTCAGATCCATGGATTCAAGGTTTGTGGTTATTCGTAATTTTGTGTGCCAGTAAGAATTGGAATTGCAGTTAAAAAGTTGCAATCTGAGAGGTTTTTTAGCAATTGGTATTGGAATTGCTTTGCCTTTTGTTTAAACCAGGACCTGCTTACATGGGAATATGCATTATTTCCGAAATTCCCCATTGTGTAAAACAGGCTAAAACATTCTTAAACCCCAAACTCTTTTTTTGATGGCACTGACATTTAAATCTATGATCTCATGCAGACTACTCAAATTTTTACCATTACATCAATCTTAATAGCTTATGAAACCCCAAATTCATATTACTAAATCAATCCTAATAGCTTATTAAACCCTAAATTCTAAACCTCTAGTAATAAATTGATATCATTCAGATAGGGACATTGATATTTTCTTCCTAATTTCTACATGTCACCTGGGAAAAGCTCGTAGTAAACCCTTGCATTATATATACATTCTTCCTCTTAGTGCTACTGTATTACCTATATACTTTTCTATAATTACCCCTACCCTTTATTTTACATATTTTGACTTTCCTTCAAACATATTCAGGCAGTGGTGTCAGAACTCTGGTACGTGGAGGAATATGATGTGCTTGCCCTTGCACTAAATGGAAGAATGAACGTTCGCAAATTCAAACTTGGGTGCTCAAGAGAATGAAGTTTAGACTTGCACATTAAATTCACTGAGGGGCATGTATCGTATATAGGATAAGATAAGAGCTAATAATATAATACATGATAGTGTAAGAGTTGGTAAGACTTGATTAAATTTTAATATTATCTAGTAATTGATATGATATTGTATAAAATAATGTATTGTATAAAATAATACTATCGAGTGTTTGGTAATACACTGTATAGTATTAGATAGGATAAAAATAAATATTTTTGACAAAAATATCCTTTAATAAAGAATTTATATAATTCTTCCAAATATGTTGTATGATAGTAATTTTTATAAAAATTTATATATCAATATGTCTAAAACCATATATTAATGTTCGGTTTTATTAATCTCATATTAAATGAGATAAGTTATCTCATGTCATAGAGACAAATTTGTTGGCTTCACCATCTGAAAAAATAAAAAGAAAAGAAAAGAAAAATGTGGCACAGTTATCGAAGGGTGTGTAGGAGGGAAAACTTATTTCATGTAGCATGAGAAAAGTTTTTTCCATTAATATTTATAGAAATAAAAATATCCTATATTTAAAAAAAAAAAATCATGACTGCTATTGAAGAAACTATCCTAGAGCCAACAACCACACCATAATCATAGAACAACAATACCCATATTGAGTTGCAGAAACAAATTTAAATAGAACACACAAATTATGTTCACACCCAAAAGAAATCGCAGGTGATCAAACACAAGCACAACATTGGATGCAATCCGAAGATATGATCTTAATAGAAATAGAATTCTATCCAAATCCATCTAATATAGAGACACAAAGAGGCCAGGGTCACTACCACCGGTGGAATTCTCCCCCACGGTTTCTTCCTACAAGAAAAACAAAATGCATCAAATTTAAGAGGGGGGAATGTTCTTGCCAAGCAGACACTACTGTATGGATTATAAACAAGGAAAAAAAATTAATTTCTGAAGAAAAATTTGGAAATAAACCTAAAGAAAAATAATAAAAGATTGCAAAAACATTAATTCAAGGTAGCCAATAAATGAAAAATTCACAAAGACACATCTTAATCTGATTTCTCCCGGTTGAAAAAATTCCGAAAAGCTTGAACTTAATACATTTCCCTAAAGACAGAAATGAAAAGGGATAAACCTCTAATACATCAACTCTTATTAGGTTTTTTCCCATTCCCTTATACCTTATTAGATATACATCATTTTGATATTTAAGGATCCTGATATATTATAAGGTTATACGATGATGACATCAAAAAATTGAAAATACATAATGTATAGTATAAGTTTATGGGAAATGATTTCTTCAGTCAATGGAGATAAATTATCTCCGGTAAGTTCAAAACAACATCGTTTTAAGGAGAAAATCATAATATTTTCGTAATTCTAATTTATTGCAGGATTATATTAGTCTTTATTATTATAAGATTTTAATCTTACAATCTAAAATAATGTTATTTTGAACTCATTAGAAATAACTTTATATCTAGTGACTAAAAAAATATTTTTACTTAAATTTATACTATCATATTTTATATCACGCACCAAACATGCCTTGAATGCAATGAATACGCACACAAGATCCACTTTCTATACAGAAGACAGCTTTTTTTTAATGAATTTTTTTGTTAAATGTTGTTACTTAAATTGGAAATTTAAATAGAATAACAGCTAAGTTGGGAAAACGGCAAAAGTGAAATTAGTGATAACGGGGCGAACATATATGTGATGACAGCTAAGTGAATGAACTCCACACGCTTAAACCCCTGAGTCGTATGCTTTCGGATGCATATTGATCAAGATTAAAAGTCACAATTTTTTTTAATAATCCCTTCTTATTTCAGGCTTTTTCTTTAAATGGGAAAATGATTTTAGTTATAAACAAATTAGTTTGATAGAAAATGAAAAATGAAAAATATAAAATAATAATATATTTATATATAATATAAGCAATTTTTCAAAAACAAATAGAGAAGACATTGATGATACAATAAATTAACGAGCCATTAATGATTTTTTTTTTTTGAGATATTATAATTTGTTCATTATTTCGTTCGCCACTAGTCCGATTCAGACAGATTTCAGATTAAGACTTTAAATTTCTTCTAAAGACGGTATCGGAGAGGATTGAATACATGTTATTATCCTCACCTATTTAGTTTTTTGACGCCAACTGAGCTACCATCATTTGATAATAATTTTTTCTTTCAACTAGTGTTTTAAAAATCGGCTCGGACCAGCCGGGTCTCGGTGACCCGGTGGGTTTTTCAGTCCGAGTGGTCATTTGAACCGGTTCTGCAGTCAACTCGGTGACCCGGTTGACCCTCTCTTTTTTTTTGGTAAATGTTTTTTTTTTTTGGTTGCTGAGAATTCTTGAATTAAATCATGTTCATATTTTGTGATAAATATAATTAAAAAGTAAGGTGAAAATAAGAAGGTATTTTGGATTAGTGCAGTTCGTTTATGTAATTTAGTTGCATCTTATAATAAATCTCAAGAAGTTAAGTGAGGATAAACACTGATGGTCTCATCTCAACAGTGGACACTTTTTCCTTAGTGTATATTTCAGAGCTACTATTTGTTATCATGATTTAGTTTAACTGTTTTATCAAGGCACAAAAAGTGTATTTAGCTTACATTACAATTTCAGAAAAATATTTCTGCAGTTAATGCAGATAAATTATCTGCATTTACTTCCAAAACGATGTCGTTTTAGATTGAAATATTAGAAAATTATAATTATAAAGACTATAATAACCTAAAATAAATTAAAATTACAAAAATATCATGATTTCCGTCCCAAAACGACGTCGTATTGGACTTATTGCAGATAACTTATATACAGTAACTGCAGAAAATATGAACCCTTACAATTTTAATCCAATGTTAGAATATGGTCTGGAGCTAGAAGTCTAGTAGTATAAAATATTTGCTATAATTAAAATTAATTTATTTTTTGAAGTTCATTGATAGTTTTCTTATGTGAATTTTTAATATAAATAATATATTTATATTTTTTTAATATGTGAAAAGTAAATTCGGTTGAACCTGATTAAACTAATAATTAATTGACTTACTACCTCAACCGAATCGATCATCATTGCGAGTTTTAAAACACTGCTTTCAACAAATGAAGCAGATACAGTAAATTATTGTTATTTACATGATACCGATATGCTTTTTAAAAGGGTAAAATGTGTGTCATTTTAAAGGATGTAAAGTTGTGTCATTTTAAGAGGGAGAAAGAGATAGATAAAAGAAGAGAGAAAGTTGACAAAAAAAATAAAGGTGTGGGTCCCACCTCTTTATAAAAGTGAAAGAATATAAGTTGTGTCATTTAAAAGGATAAACACTTTTCCATTTCTAAAATTGTGTGATGACAATTGACAACGTTATTTCAGTTAGCTTGCTTCCCTTTATTACTAAATTCCAAAGGTCCTATATGCAATCTATTGTAGATGTATTAATCAATATTAAAACGTAAGTATTAAAAATAGAAATTTGATTCTTATAAAGAAAATTACCAAGTTACTCGTTAATTGAAAAAAAATGACGTGGAAATTCAATGGTAGTGGTTGATGGGAGCAATAAGGCATGAGGTAGCCACGTGTCTTGCTGAGAAGAGTGGCATCCCGCCACACAACCCTTTGTGAATTGTTCATGCCCAACAGAAGTAACCTCACTGAAACGAGATAAAAGCATGCGAGTTTTGTTATATGTAAATTGCCCTCTATTGTTTTTCTCCAAAATTGATATAGTTTTGTTGTTCTGCTTGAAGATGTTGTGTACTGCTTACTGTTCAAGGGGTATATCTTATATGAGATCAGAGGCTCTTGCTCCTGTGGTTGAAAAGGCAGTGGCGGAGCCCCAGTATGGCATGTTAGTTAGTGCCAAAAAATTCAGCCAGTATTCAAATAGCTATGGTTCTTTGGCTATGACCAAACGTGGCTAATTTTCAAAAAAAATTGAAACAGAATTTGCCACGTTCAAGTGTAGCTAGATGAACGTGGCTAATTAAGCCAGTGCTAAGACAACTGCGGGTTACAACGTGGCTCCGCCACTGTGAGAAAGTCAATAAGCAAGAAGAGACATCAAAAAAGAGGTTAGACGTTCTATTCACACACACATCTATAGAAATTAGAAATATCTAATGCTCTGAATAAACTCATTAACAAAACAGATTCATTCCTCTTATAGCTGGTTAATGGCACATGAAAAGACTTACATTTTTGTTAATATTTATATAACTTTGACTTGACCCCTTGGTTACTCGAACATTTTTTTTATGCCTTAAGATTAAATCAGCTTACTTCCATTATTTTCTTAAGGCCAAAATTCTCTAAAAATGGATTCGATGTATTGATATGATAAATCATTCGCTGTTAAACTCTGACTAATCAAACCAAGGGTAAAGGCATTTCTTGTATATAGCTTTATCTTTACATATTTCCAAAAAATTATTTTTTGGATTCTTTTAGCATATAGTGTCATTCTTATTTCTTATTAATAGTTCTTTTCTTTATTTGTTTTATGCCACCTCATATTTGTGGTAGTAACAACCTTGCATCACTTACGGGTATAGCAAAAGATTAGCACACTCATTCTGTTAGAAGATTCTTTTGTTATATTTTGGGTATCACCCTTTGCGTGTAATTCAGTTGAGACATTTAGCAGTATGAAAAATGTTTCTTCTTCATTCTCTGGTTTACATGGTTTCCATGCTCTGATAATCAATATGGTATCAGATGATATTTTTTAATTTTCTCTTCTTCCATGGCGCGTGGTAACAATAATCGTCCTCCACCCGCTGGTAGCTCTGCTTGTTCATCTCTTGTTCATCCTTCTCCTAACATGGAGGATATCTCTAGCCCCTACCACCTTTCTAATGCCGATCATCCAGGCATCATTCTCATTCCTCATTCTCTACTTGGTCCTAATTATAACTCTTGGCGCAGATCCATGTTTCTTGCCTTAACTGCTAAGAACAAAGTGTCATTTGTTAATGGTTCCCTTCTTCAACCCACTGTTGATGATCTCCTTTTTTCTTCTTGGAATCGATGCAATTCCATGGTCACTTCATGGATCCTCAATTCTGTCTCGAAGGATATCGCGAACAGCTTGATGTATTTTTCTACGGCTTACGATCTTTGGGCTGATCTCCGTGCCCGATTTCATCAGGCCAATGGACCCAGAATTTTTCAGTTGAAACAACAGATATCGTCTCTTCATCAAGGTGCTCTTGATGTTAATGGTTACTATATGAAGCTCAAGATTCTCTAGGATGAGCTTCACGATTACTCTCTAACTCATCCATGTACTTGTGGAGGTCTTCGTTCCCTTTCAACTTCTATACAAAAAGATTAAGCACTTTAGTTTCTCATGGGGCTTAATGAGTCATTTTATTCTATACGTGCTCAAATTTTACTTATGGAACCATTAACAAATTTATCCAAGGTTTTCTCCTTGATTTTGCAAGAGGAAAGGCAGAGGTAAATCTCCACTACATTGCCTACCAATCCTGAGACTCCATTGATGAACGCTATTGCTACTCCTGGTGTTCTTGGTTCTGCTCCAACAGCAACTCATCTTATGGCAGCCACCATCTCCGTTCCTCGCCGCAACCATCCATTTTGTACACATTGCAATGTCTCCGGCCATAACAACGACAAGTGTTTTAAAATCCATGGATTTCCCCCGGGCTATAAGCCCAAATTTGCTAAACCAACCTCACCTGCTTCGGCCCAAACACATTTAGCCTATACAGGTCCCACACCCAGGCCCAATGAACCTAATCCTCCATTTCCCCAATTGACCCAATCTCAGTATACTCAGCTTTTACACCTCTTGCATTCGAACCCTACATCGCTGTCATCACCTTCATGCTCCTCTTCACCGACGGCGGAATCAGCCTCTCCTACCATTGCCAGTTTCAGTGGTAAGTATTCTTCTTCCCTACCTTCTACTTCATAGGTTATTGATACGGGGGCAACACATCATGTTGCTTTCTCACCTCTTTCGTTTACTTCTCCTCTTTCCCCTTTTAATTCCACCGTATCTTTACCCACTGGTTCATGTATTTCGATTACTTCTAAGGGTTCAGTCACTCTCTTTTCTTCACTAATTCTTCATGATGTTTTGCTTGTTGATTCATTTTCATTTAATCTTCTTTCTGTTAGTGCTCTCACGCGTGATTCTTCCATCACTGCTCATTTTTATGCTTCTCATTGTTCTCTCCAGGACCACGTCTCTCAGAAGACGATTGGGATTGCTAACAGACTCGTTGACCTCTACATTTGGGATACTACATCTCTTTTCCCCAATGATCATGTTTCCCCATCCCTCTGCTTAAATGTTTCCATGCATTCCTTTAGTTTATGGCATTCTAGGCTAGGCCATCTATCTTCTTCTGTTTTGAATCGTTTAAAAGATACTTTACATTTTAACGATCATGCATGTTCATCATTCCATTGTAATATCTGTCCATTAGCAAAACAGACGAGATTACCCTTTATTTTGAATCCTCAACTTTCTTCTTCCACTTTTGATTTATTGCATTTTGATATTTGGGGCCCTTTTCACCCAATTTCTGTGGATGAATTTCGATACTTTCTAACTATTGTCGATGATGCATATAGATTTACATGGATTTATTTTCTTAAAAATAGAAATGTGTTTTCTGTTATCTTTCCTCAATTTTATTCTTTGATTTTCACTCAATATAAAAAATCCATTTAAGCTCTTTGTTGTGATAATCCCCTGAATTTGGCTTATCTGATTTTTTTTCTCACCAAAGGCATTCAAATTTTTCATTCATGTGTAGAAAGACCACAACAGAATTCTGTTGTGGAAAGAAAACATCAACATCTTTTAAATGTTGCTAGAGCTCTGCATTTCCAATCCTAGGTCCCTCTTTCCTATTGGACTGATTGTATTGAAACAACTTCATATCTTATTAATCGCACTCCCTCTCCACTTCTGAAAACAAAACTCCTTTTAAATTACTATCTCATAAGGTTCCCACTTACTCACATCTCAAAGTTTTCGGTTGTCTTTGCTATCCTTCCACTCTTCTTCGTGGTCGTCACAAATTTTCTGCTCGTGCTCTTCCAGCCATTTTCCTTCGCTATCCTTTTGAAAGTAAAATGACCTTGAAGGTCGAGGCATGTGATAGGGAAAAAACAAAATTTTTCGCTAGCGGAACACACATGCACATCAAGATACGTGCTTTAAGACGTATATTATACCTTGTTCGTGAAACTTCAGGATGATCAAGGTCAGGTCTGAAGAGTTCAAATCCTCTAACGTTGATCCACACCACCCGCGTCTAGATGCAAGAACTCCTTCTTGTAGAACCACCAATTGATCACCACAATGAGGCTTGCTATGCGCTCAATGTATGAAAGAGGAGGCTAGGCAAATGTGTTTAGAAGAGTGATGTTTTCAGAGAGAAAACCTCACAAGGTGGCGCATGGAAGGAGGAGAGAATGGCTAGGTTCTTTCACTTAAAAAACCCTAAGGAGGAACACACTTATATATTGCACAAGAGAGTGAGGGAATAAATAAGTGAAATCAGATTTTTCACTTCAAAATCCCATGAAAGTGGCGCACAACAAATGAGGAGATAAAAGAGTTGTTGCAATTCAAAACTCCCAACAACCTCTCCATTGAATCCTTATGAGTAAGGTCTTTATCTAATCAAGATTCTGACCTGATGGTCATCACATGACCACTCATACTGTGCACCCCATTTAGTCCCAAAAGAAGTCCAGATACGTTTGAGTAGTTGCATTCAAACTTGAATCAACTCACTCAAATATTCTCCCAACAGACCGTATCTTTTGGAGCTGATTTTGATGACTAAATGACACTCACCAACAGCCAAAATCAGCGCCCCAATCTTCTTGGATTATGTCCAAAAGATCTCCTCTTGATACTAGTGATTTGTTCCAACAAGATCTTATCTTATCCTTTTGTTATGAAACAACTTTTCATAGCCAATTCAAATTTGAATTCAAATATTTAAATTCGAATATTCAAACATTCAAATTCAAACTTTCAAACATTCAAATTCAAAATTCAAAATTCAAATTTCAAAATTCGAATTCAAAATTCAAATTTCAAAATTCAAAATTCAAATTCAAAATTCAAAATTCAAATTCCAAAATTCAAATATCAAAATTTAAATGTTTGATAATTAATTTAACCAATTAAATTAATTAGTAGTGTCTTGGACTATCCAAGCCCATTACTGTGATCCATGCGCCCTCCACCCTCAAGGTGGACTTCCAAATTACTTCTTAGACTAATGACCATTATTAGGCCAAATACCTTTAATGCTAGTTCATCTAGACAATTAGGTGTTAGCGTGTGACCCATAAGGTCCAAAATAGCCACTGACATAAATGGGTTTGGGCCCAATAAGCCCACAACCCATCTAATGACAACACAGAGCACTAGCAATGCTTTGTTGCCCCAGAACTAGTTAGATTAATGACTTGATCATCCTATTACACATATTTAGTTGCCGTATGTATTTCCCTTCATCTCGGTTACCTTCCCATTAACCTAGGGTAAGGAAATGTATCAACCCTTGCGGTTTAGGGTAAGCTTTATTCAAAATAGGGAATCTTCAATTTACTGACTTTAAAGGCAGATCATCTCATGATCTCTTTTACTATGCATAGATTCCCGAGTCCCTGTAAATGTCATCCCGATTTCTCCGGTTTATAGATAACCTAATCTCTCACAGAGTTTTGACGAATTCCTTCAGCTTATCACCCTAGCCTTGTGCTCTTTCTGGACAAGCCCAACAGTATACTTATGAGTCTCCATGTTTCAGGCAGACAAGGTATATAGTCAAAGCATGCCTTCTAGAACACAGTCTAGGTAATAACTTCTGGTCTAAGGAAAGACATACCCAAATATAAAGAGACTACTCTAATGATACTCTCTGTGAGATTTCCTCATAGAGTCTCTTTGTGGGTATGTTCAGTGCGAGCTATACCCTTATAGGTCCACCCACGACTTTAGCTAAGACATCTCTATATCTGTAGCACATGAGGTTTTTACCTTGTATCCGTATACAAGTAGATAAGTCGTGCTAGTCTTATCCGAGATCACTGATCCCCATTCTCAGTGTCTCTAGACTAGGAACATAAAATTAGGAATAAACGTGCAGTATCCTTGAATCCTCATGATTGTGATCTCATCACAAATACTCAAGAGACACATGTTCTATTCCAAGGGGTTTATCCAGTTTATTCATAATATATATTAACAATAATATCGAGACATAATATGAAACAGGATAAAGAGTGCTTATTATTTATTTGCGACAATAAAGGTCTACATTTAATGTCCTTATTTAATCAAAAGATTGTCTCTAGGACACCCATATACTAACAAGCTCCCACTTGGCCTAGAGCCAATCAGACCTAAGTCGTATACCCAAAACCTCATAATGACTATCATGTTTTCTCTGAGAAATAGTCTTTGTCAGAGAATCGGCAAGGTTATCATCTGTGGGAACATAATCCATCTTTACATCCATTCTATCAATGATTTCTCTAATCAGGTGATATCTGCGGAGCACGTGTTAGATCTTTGATGAGACCTAGGTTCCTTTGACTGCGCAATGGCTCCTGTGTTGTCGTAAAGCAACTGTATGGGCTCATCCACGCTTGGAACCACCCTTAGTTTAGATATGAACTTCTTGATCCATACGGCCTCCTTAGCCGCTTCTGAAGCAGTTATGTATTCAGCTTCTGTCGTTGAATCTTATGTTGTCTCATGCTTGGAACTCTTCCAAGATACTGCCCCACCATTTAAGGTGAATACGAACCCTGACTGTGACTTGCAGTCATCTTTGTCACTCTGAAAGCTGGCATCAGTGAACCCTTTCACTGTTAGCTCATCAACCCCACCATAGACCAGAAGCGCATCCTTAGTTCTTCTTAAGTACTTAAGGATGGTCTTGACTGCAGTCCAGTGATCCTTCTCAGGCTGTGACTTAGGACACATAGCCTTTGAAAGATGTACCCCATGACTGACAGGAAGAAAACCCATTTTCGACCCTTCCATGCTAAACCTTTTTAACATTTTGTCAACATACGTGGATTGAGATAAACCCAGCAGCCTCTTAGATCTATCTCTATAGATCTTTATACCAAGTATAAAGGCTGCTTCTCCCAAATCCTCCATGGTGAAGCTTTTTGAAAGTCACTCTTTCGTTATTTGTAATGTGGGGATGTCATTTCCTATCAACAATATGTCATCTACAT